AGTTCATCTTGTAGGTAGAACATATTGCTGCTCCTGAGCATCGGTGTTAGAGGGAATGGAAGATTGTGGATGTGATGCTAATCAAGTAGGCTGATTTGTCCTGGATGGTGTCAAGCTTCTTGAGTGTTGTTGGAGCTGCACCCACCAAGGGGGAGAGTATTCCATCACACTCCTGATTTGTGCCTTGTAAATGATGGACAGGCTTTGGGGAATCAAGAGATGAGTTACTTGCTGAAGTATTCCTAGCCTCTGACCTGCTGTTGTAGCCATTGTGCTTATGTAGCAAGTCTGGTTGAGTTTCTGGTCAATGGTAAGACCAAGGATGTTGCTAGTGGAGGATTCAGTGATAGTAACATCATTGAGTGTCAAGGGACAGTAGTTAGGTTGTTTCTTATTGGGGATAGTCATTGCTTGGCATTTGTGTGGCACAAATGTACTTGCCACTTGTCAGCCCAAGCATGGATATTGTCCAGATCGTGTTGCATTCAAAAATGGACTGCTTCAGTATCTGCGGAGTTGTGAATGGTGTTGAATATTGTGCGAACATCAGTGAAAATTCCCACTTCTGACTTTATGATGGAGTGAAGGTCATTAATGAAGCAGCTGAAGATGGTTTGGCCAAGGACACTACTCTGAGGTTTCCTGCAGAGATGCCCCAGAGCTGAGATGACTGACCTCCAAAAACTACAACCATCTTCCTATGTGCCAGGTATGATTCCAACCAGTGGAAAGTTTGTCCCCTGATACCTATTGATTCCAGCTTTGCTAGGGCTCCTTGTTGCCACACTCAGTCAAATGCAGCCTTGATGTCAAGGGCTGTCACTCTCAATTCACCTCTGGAATTCAGTTCTTTTGTCCATGTTTGAACCAAAGCTATAATGAGGTCAAGAGCTGAGAGGCCCTTCTGGAATCCAAACCAAATGTTACTGAGAAGGTTATTGCTGAGCAGGCACTGCTTGACAGCACTGTTGATAACACCTTCACCACTTTATTAATGATCAAGAGTAGACTGATGGGGCGATAATTTAATGGGTTGGATTTGTCCTGCTTTTATTTCTGTACAGGACATACCTGGGCAATCTTCACATTGTCGGGAAGAGTGTACCCAAATAGTGTGGTTGTCATGCTGTATGATAATTATTTTTCCATCTTGAACCAATAACCTTTCTCAGTCTTCTCCATTCTTTGAGCCACTCTTTCTTATAATAAACGACATCTTGCTGATTGAAACCGGTTCAACGGTCTTACCTCATATGTTCATCAACTTCTTTCTGAGACTTTGGTCTGCCTGTATGCAGTGCATTCAATAGCTTCAAAAATAGTACAGCAAATTGTGGCTCCTTCCCAGGCTGATCACTTATTTTTGATGGACCTTTAAGATTCTTCTATTAGCTTTGTGCACTCCCCATTCTGTATTCCTGCATTGTTTACTGAAATGTTTAACATTTTAGAAACAGAGGGCTAATAGTCTATGTAATTTTAACATAATTTTATGTCTCCTAAATTTCTACCCTCTCCTTTGATATTTTTTAGTGCAAAGCATATGTTCCATTAATGAAATAAAATAGTATCCCGATTATGTAAGTTGCAAATTCACAGGTTTTCCAAATACAACAGCTTTGTCATTTTCTACATTCATTTTCATGTGTTTTCTTCTTTAAAGGCCGGCTTGATGGCATTGGTATCTCACAGAACACTTCATCCGTCCTAATGAAATGATGGATTCTAGCTATTTCACAAGGAATGAACTAATCTTTTCAAAGATTTGAATGTATTATCATCCCAAATCTGAAAACGGTAGGACTCTCAAATTCTTAACTTTGATCCATTCCTTATTACTCAGAGAGTGGAAGTAACATTTTAACAGACTATTCCGTACAATGTAGTCAAGCATCCACTAACTAACACTGCACAATTGAAAGACTCTGCCACCAACACATTCATCAATGTGCTGAAACGTCTTTTGACCATTACATTGTGTAGAGAAAAAACAATGTTTGAAGAAGAATCACACTCAATGTTAACACTGTTTCCCTCTCCATAAATGTTGCCAGACCAGCAGAGTATTTCAAGCACATTCTATTGATTAGTTGTTGTTTGTCTGCAAAACAATATCCCCAACCTCGCTACTAAACCCACCCTCAAGGTTGTGTGGTAGTAAGTACGGCTTACTGACCTCTACATCGGTGAGGCCAGGCACCAACACTCTGAAACCTCATCTTAGCATCTCCTCGATCATGATCCCACCTCTGATCACCAAGTCATCATCTCCCAGACCATCAAAAACCTCATCACTTTGGGAGATCTCCCACCCACGCCTCCAACCTGACATTTCCCCAACCCTGCACCACCCATTTCTATCTCCTACCCAAAATCCATAATCCCAATTTCCCCGGTTGACCCATTGTATCTGCCTGCTCCTGCTCCACTGAGCTCAACTCTTCCTACTTCGACTCCATTCTTTCCCCTTTGGTCCGGGAGCTCCCTACCTACATTCGTGACATAACCCACACCCTCCACCTTTTCAAAAACCTTCAATTCCCTGACCCCCAACACCTCATCACCCTGTACATCTGAGCCCTCTACTTCTTCTTCTTCCGTAGGTCCAACCAGTCCCCCTCCACTGATGCTCTCATTCGCTGCTCGTCACTCTCAACAATCTTTCCTTCAATTCCTCCCACTTCCTACAAACCAAAGGGGTGGCCGTGGGCACCTGCATGGGCCTGAGCTATGCCTGCCTCTTTGCAGGATTTGTGGAACTGTCCGTCTTCCACAACTACACTAACACCCATCCCTCAACTCTTTCTCCGCTATATTGATGACTGCATCAGTGTGGCCTTGTGCTCCTGTGAGGAGATTGAGCAGTTCATCAATTTTGCCAACATCTTCCACCCCACCCTCAAATTCACCTAGACTATTTATGACACCTCCCTCCCCTTCCTGGACCTCTCTGTCACTACCTCCAGAAACCAATTCACCACCGACATCCATTTCAAACCCACTGACTCCCACAACTACCACCTCTCACCCACCCTCCTGCAAAAATGCTATCACATACTCCCAATTCCTCCGCCTCCGCCGCATCCGCTCCTAGGATGAGGCATTCTACTCCAGGACATCCCAGACATCCTCCTATTTTAGGGACCGTTATTTCCCCTCCTCTGTAATTAAGGATCGCCTTAACCTCATCTCCTCCATTTCCGCACTATTGCCCTCAAACCCACTTCCCCCAACAACAATAAGGATAGAGTCCCCTTAGCCCTCACATACCACCCCACCAACTTCCAAATCCAACGCATCATCCTCTGACATTTCCGCCACCTACAGTCAGACCCCACCACCAAAAAGAAATTTCCCTTCCACCCCTGTCCATTTTCTGCAGGGACTTGTGGAAGGTGTTGATTCCACAACACCTTTGTCAGTTCTACACTCTCCACCAACTTCCCCGCCACACTCGGTACCTTTCCCTGCAATTGCAAGAGGTGCAATACCTGCCCCCACACCTCCCCCCTCACCTCCGTCCAAGGCCCCAAACAATCCTTCCAGATCCAGCAGAGATCACCTGCACTTCATCCAACCTGGTCTATTACATCCGTTGCTCCTGATGTGGTCTCCTCTATGTCAGAGAGACTCGGGGACCAGTTGGCAGAGCATCTGCACTCTGCATGCAACAACCAACCCGACCTTCCGGTTGCCATCCATTTTAATTCCCCCTCTCACTCCCCTGATGACATGTCCATCCTTGGCCTCCTTCACTGTCAGAGTGAGGCCAAATGTAAACTGGAGAAACAACACCTGATATTTTGCCTTGGAATCTTACGGCCCAATGGTCTCAACATTGGCTTACCCCAGCTTCAAATCCCTCCACTCCCAGTCTTATCCCATCTCCAGCCCTCACCCTCCTCACCATCTTCCAACTCACCTATCCACTCCACCCTTCCCATAGACCAGTCACAATAATCCCCTACCTGCATCCATTTTTCACCATCTCTCCTACCCTTCCCTCAGCCCCACACCCCCTCCAATTCTGGGTTTCCCTCCCCCTCCCCAGTCCTGACGAAAGGTTTCAGCCTAAAACAGTGCCTTTCCTACTCCTCTGATGCTGTCTGACCTGCTGCGCTTTTCCAGCCTCGCACCTATAGACTCTGGCTTCCAGCATCTGCAGTCCTTATTGTCTCCAACATTGTTTGATACATTTACTTTATTTTATGGTAGCACTGTGGCAAAACAGACATTGGTCAGCGTTTACTGCCCATCTCTGTTTGCCCTGGAGAAGGTGGTGGTGAGCTGCTTTCTTCAGAATTGGAGAACTGTGTTACTTGCCTCCTCCCTCATCCGCATCAATGGTCACCAAATCAGTGGTGGCAAAACCTGAGTCCTCAATTATCAAGGTTGAACAACATGTCACTTAACACATATCTCTTGGTCAAACCACCCGGATGCATCCAACTACTGTTTTATTTTCACAATGACAATGTCTTAAGTGAATATAGATACAGGAGAATGTAAACAGTAGTCAATAGATGAACTGTTGCAATATGCACGGTTTCACGGGCGTACTGAGATTGTGTGGAGTCCCAGCAGTGTCAGAGATGCCACAATCCTAATCATTAGCAGGACAATCTAGGTCTGATAAAGAGTTTTCAAGACCCGAAACGTTAAACTTGCTTTCTCTCTATAGATGCTGCCTGACCCGCTGTGAACTCAAGCATTTTTTTGTTTTCAGTACAGATTCCAGCATCTGCAGTAAGTTGCTCCTACAAACTAAGTCGAGTCTCAGCTTGCTGTGTTACCAGGAATTCACCGAGTGTAAGTTGAGTCCTCCATTCCGTTGCTCTGCAAGTTACCGCATCTGTCATGAATATTTCGTTAAATTCTAAAAATTGCAGCATAAATTGGGAGCAGCAGTAGAAGTACAGTGGAACCAAAGAATTGACTAACTCTCTGTTGTCACCAGGTGTCAGTGTAACATTTAACGAGAGCAACAGTTTATTGAGAGCTCAGCTGAAAGGGTGTATAAAGTTGATGCTTAACGGCGAGTGGGGAAGCGCTGAGGCACCGGGCGGGATTGCTCTTTGGCTCACACAATTGGGAGGATCCTGTTCTCATCTCGGGTGGCGCAAAAAAAAATGCGGATCCAGCGTAGGCCCTCGGGTAGGCAACAGTTCGAAGTGAGAAGCCAGTGTAAGAGCATGTAAATCTTAACCATTCATTTCCGTGTCTGGTGTTGTTGTTTCAGAAATGCCAAGATGATTGATGCTTAGCGGCAGCTACGTTTAATCTCTGTTTATGTGAGCGTGACACACAGCTCGTGGGTGGGGACCTAACAGTGTGACCTATTCTCGGACCTCCTGATCCGCCCAATGTACGCACTCCGTGAGCGGGGAGTACTTCGGTGGTGAAGCTTCTTGAAGATTGGTGGGCAAAGCTGACGGCTTTTTCTTAACCCCCTTTTTATGAGCCTTGGGGAATGGACTTGCACAGACTCTGTCACACTCGGAGCAACTTCAAGCAAGACAAGTCAAAACGATAAAATTGTCCAGTTTTTACTTTAGCTGGGACAAGCTGCGTGTAGCATGACTACAGAGTGGAATCCCGGAGTTTTCATTGTAGGGCTCTCTTTTGGGGGTTTCAGACTGATCAATCGAGGTCTGGGATATCTCCCGATTCCAGAATCTGCCCTGAGGAACACCTGGAAATGGAGAAACATTTGCACCTCTATGGTTCACAGTATGGTGACAGGCATCTGGGCTATCCTGTGGTAAGCGTCAAACTAAATGTCTCAAATTTGAAACTCCACAATTTCTTGCCTCGTTGTAAATTTTAGATTTTGATCGATGACTTAAGTTTTTTTTGTTTTGGAAGTCGGTGTTCACGGAAAACCATCTTTCATAACACTGTGGTGCAGAGCTGGATATTGGTAGTAGGCTGTTGTGTAACTTTCTTTTTCCATTTGGCTGAACGCAAAGCCTAATTCCACCAATAAATACGGTGAATTCTGACTCTGACTTTTTTTTTTCAGCTTTTATTTCCAGCCGCAGATGGCTGAGGATCTGATCGGTACACATTCCCCGTCCTCTCACGGTCTGATAGCCTTTTCTATAGGTGAGTCCGAACTCGGGCAGGGATTAAGGGGATAAGGATTGTGGCAGGGCTTCCTCTTATTTAACTGATGTCATTAAGTTCTTGCACTTACACAACGAGTTACGCCCCATTAAATTGAAACAGCAGACAATTGTCATCACGTTATACAACTACCATGTGATTTCACTCGCTGAGATATTAGTTGGGAGGGTTTTGAGCATGTGCACTGTTAGCTCGTAAAATTAAAATTAAGGAACACAAGAACAATGGTCGTTTCTGTCTTTCTAGCCTGCTTTGCCATTCAATAGGATCATGGCTAATCTGTGACCCAATTCGATGTCTCTGCCTGGGGCCCATGTACGTTTGCTTTAATAAAATATTGCCTAAGTTTAACAATTGAATTAGCATCGACTCTCATTTGAGGAAGAGAGTTCCAAACCTCCACTACTCTGCATGTAAAAGAGCTTTCTAAAGTGGCCTGTCTCTAATTTTAGACTATTCCCTCTGGTTTTAGAATCTTAAACTACTGGAAATAGTTTAGTTTAAATTAGGACTTAATATTAGGAGCTAGAGTGTAAAGATTTTTTTAAAAATACCTCAAAGGTAGTAATCTCTGGTTTGCTATCAGTGCCATGTGCTAGAGTGAGTGAAAATAATGGGATATGCTTGGCTGAAGAAAACGGATTCTTGGGACTTTAGGAACAGTTAGTGGAACTCGTACAACCAGGACCAGGACCAATGCCCTTTTGGGGTGGGGCTGCTAGGCCTGGTCAGCAGGGTTTAAATTAGAATGGCAAAGGGATGGGAACCTGAAGAGAAAGATAGATGTGAGAGTGAAACAAGAACACAAACCAAAGACAGAAAGGTATGCAACAAAAAGTAGAAAAGAGAGGGTGAGAAACAAATGGGGCCAACATACAAAATAAAGCTAAGATAACTAAGGTTAAAAAGACTAGTCTAAAGACTTTGTGACTTAATATGTGGAGCATTCACAATAAGGTAGATGAATTAGCAGCACAAATAGAAGCTCTCCTGTTGCGATTGCAAGAGACGTATCTGCAGGATGACCAAGGGCTAGTCATTTTATAAGGACAGACAAAAAAGGAAAGGAGGTGGAGTAACATTGTTATTCAAGGAATAAATCAAGGCAATAGCAGACATTGGCTCAAAATCGTGATGTGGACTCTGTATGGATGGAGATGAGGAACACGAAGGAATAGAAAATGTTGGGAGTTATGTATAGCACATCCACCCCAAACAGTCTTAGAAACACATTGGAAAGACATTAAACAAAGAATCAGAGTTGCATGGTGATATATTGGGAAGTGTGGAGGTACAAAGGAAACTGTCTCCTTATACACCAGTTGATGAAAGTGCATGTGCAGCAAAACAGTTTGGAAGGCATATGGTATCTTGGCCTTCATTGCAAGAGGATTGGATTTCAAAAGTAGGGATATCTTGCTACAGTTGTACAGGGCGCTGGCCAGACCAAAGCTGGAGTATTGCATGCAGCTTTGGTCTCTCTACCTAAGAAGTATTATATCTGCTATAGAGGGAGTGCTGCAGAGATTAACTAGGGTGTTACCAGGGGATGGGAGGACTGACCTAATGAGGAGAGATCAGTTTAACGGGGCTTGCGTTCACTACAGTTTAGAAGGATGAGAGAAATCTGATTCGGACGTAAAATTCCAGCACAGCTGGACAAACAATGGGCAGGGTGTATGTTTGCCTTGTTTGGGGAGTATAGAATCAGATGACACATTTAAGACTGAGATGAGAAATTCTTCCTCACTCAGAGTTGTGAACCTGTGGAATTCTCTACCATTAGAGGCTGTGGATGCCGTGCCGCTGAATATCTTCAATAGAGAGATTAGTGTTTAGGTTTTAAAGGCATTAAAGGGTATGGGGAGAAACAGGAAAATGACATTGAGAAAGAAGATGTTGAATGGTCTACTCCCCCAGTTTCTATGTAAGATGTTAGTTTTTGTTCTTAAACTAACCACTTCATTTCCAGCTGGGGTTTTCAAAATTTTCACCATTGCTGAAATGTATCTCAATGTCAGAATGTTGTGTTCACTTTTTAAATAAATTGAGCAATTCCAAAAATTCCCTGAATGTAGCTGGGGTTTGTCACCCACATTCTTCATTAAGATGTCATGAATGTTTGTATCTGAATGATTCACTTGTTGCATGCCACCTCCCACAGATGTCTATGGTATTTCCTGCGTATTTGTAGCAAGAGACACCTGCAGTCCAGGTGTAGGGCAAATCTTTGGCATGAGCGAGTTACCCACAGTACAAAATTAACAGAAAGGTCGACCACCTTTTACAAATGTCTGACAATCCTTTTTGCTTCAATACACTTCTGTCCCTAATATTGCCTCCAAGTTAAGAGCTTTATGACACAGGGTAGGGTGTAACCGGAAGTGAGTGGTTCCTCTAACATCTTGCTTATTCGTAGAATCATGGAATCCCTACAGTGTGGGAACAGGCCCTTCGGCCCAACAACTCCACACCGCGTTTCGCAGCATCCCACCCAGACCCATCACCCATAAACCACCTAATCTACATATCCCTGAACACCTATGGGCAATTTAGCATGGCCAATCCACCTAACCTGCATATCTTTGGACTGTGGGAGGAAACCGGAACAACCGGAGGAAACCCACGCAGAGAATGGGCAAACGCCACACAGACAGTCGCTGGGGAGGGGGAGAATCAAACCTGGGTCCCTGGCACTGTGAGGCAGCAGAGCTAACCGCTAAGCGACCATGCCGCTCCAATTCCCAGTTCCCATGTGATTGCAATTAAAATTTAGTGTCAGCAGAGTGCAAGGGAGACATGTACAAAAACACACTGGGAATATTCTCCAGTGGTGAAACCCACTGTCAGCTATGAGTAGGCTATGAAAAAGTCACCTGCTTAAAGAGGAAGGCTCTGTATTTTGACCAAACTGTTCCTGCTGAACTCCATTGTCATTAACAGAAGTCTCGAGCATGAAGCCGATATGGGTCTTTTTAAAATGAAATTTTGCTCAAATTTCCACATTACACTGATTTCACTCATTTGTGCATACAATCAGAATTTTTTTTTGATTAACTTGGTCAGAGTGCTAAAGATATTGGCATGCATCATGGTTGACACTTTAGTTAGAGGTGAGTTGGGGACATTTCTTTTATTGTAGCACTCGAAGCTTGACACCATCCAAGATGTGGCGATTGGCATCACATCCACAAATATTCATACCCTCCACCATTGACTCTCAGTAGTAGCAATGTGTACCATCTAAAAGAGGTACTGCAAAAATTCACCAAGTCTTCTACCACTACCATCGAGAAGGATGCAGATATATGGGAAAACCACCCAAGTTCCCCTCTGAGCCACACACCATCCTGACCTCGAAATATATCACTGTTCCTTCAGTGTCGCTAGGTCAAAATCCTGGGACATCCCTGAACAGCATTATGGGTCTGCCTACACCAAGTAGACTGTAGCAGTTCAAAAAGGCTTCTCATCACCACCTTGAGGGCAGTCAGGGATAGGCAATAAATCCTTGCAAGTTTGTGTACTTGATTTTGCTAGCTTTGGTGTTTGGTTAAATAGAGCTCTTCATTTCCAGTTGGGGTTGAAAACGTTTGATAAATAGTATCATGATTCAGAATGTTCTGGAATAAAAACAAATTACTGCTGGAGATCTGAAATAAAACACAACAGAAAATGCTGGGAAAATTTAGCAAATAGGTCTGGCAGCATTCATGGAGAGCGAATTAATGTTTCGAGTCCAGTATGACTCTTCTTTGGAACTGAATCACTTCTGAATAAGATTAATCTTAGCCTCAGTGTTAACTCTTTTTTTTTTTTTTTCACTGCAGATGCTGGCAGACCTGCTAAGTTTAGAACGTTCTTTTTCTTTTGAAGAAATACAATTCCAAAATTCCCTGAATGCAGTAAGGATTGACTACCCATGTTGAGTTTTTTTCTTCTTCAGTTTTTAATGAATGTTCGGTCACTGTCCAATGTTGTTGTACTTGCAACTCTTTGGGACATGATTGGACTTGCAGGCTGAAATGCAGTTCCAATATTTGCATTTTATAAGAGTGTCTGAGATCACTATCAGTGAGGATGTTGGAAATGTAGGTGAATTCAAAACCCTGGCATTGGACAGCAATCTAAGATCTGCACACATTTGTACAGTACTGATGCTGCTCTTTAGGCCACTTACTTTCTTCCCTTGATTCACTGTTCCCACAATCCCTCCCCACTTTGCACATCACAACATGTGTGCTCCCCAGTCCCTCCCTCTTCCACTTTTCCTGTGACACGATTCCATACACACCCCAGTCATGGACTTCATGCAAGCTTTCATTCTCCTAGAGATGGTAAGAACTGCAGATGCATTCTCCTACTGCCTGCTGTTCTGCAGTAGAGTTAAACAATGAAAATAGCTAGGCTCCCACACAAGTGCAGAATGCTGACTGGTGCATGCCGCCTTTTAAACAAACTTCAACTGGATGTCACTAGATTCTCTTGCACTGACAGCTTTATTTTGACACAATTTTTACTTTAAAAGTTACATTTTACACAGATATGGCACAGTGGTTAGCACTGCTGCCTCACAGTTCGATTCCAGCCTTGGGTAACTGTGTGGAGTTTGCACATTCTGCCCATGTCTGCAAGGGTTTCCTCTGGGTGTTTTGGATTTCTCCCACAGTCCAAAGATGTGCAGGTTAGGTGGATTGACCATGCTAAATTGCCCTATAGTGTCCAGGGATGTCCTGGCTAGAACACAGTAAATAAGAACTAGGAGTAGGCCGTCCGGCCCTTCAAGCCTGCTCCGCCATTCAATAAGATCATGGCTGATCTTTTCGTGGACTCAGATCCACTTACCTGCTTTCTCACCGTATCCCTTAATTCCTTTATTGTTCAAAAAAATATCTACCTTCTCTTTTAAAAACATTTACTGAAGTAGCGTCAACTACTTCACTGGGCAAGAAATTCCATAGATTAACAACCCTCTGGGT